GAATTCGAGCAGTAACAAGTTTTTAGAGACTTATGCCGTTTCTCTAAATAAATTCTTGTTGATTCTTGTTGATATGTATTCACCGGAGGGTATGTTTTCTTGGGTGTGCAGGCCAGTAGATGAAATAAATACTGTTTAAAATAAACGGAGCGTTTACTTAAATACGGGTATCCACTAAAAATAACGTTTGAAACCACGCACGCGTATATACACACATACACACACACACGCACACACACACACACACACACACATAGATAGATAGATAGATATTTATCATTTTCTCTTTCTTTTCTTTTTTTTATTGTACATTCTGATCCAATCTCGTATCATATTTTGTTATTTCCTTTTATTTCAGTTTATTTTTTCCGAAACTCCCATGTTTTGAAAATGATTCTCCAAATAAATCCTTTATCCCCACTACTTTTTTTTATTTTTTTGCCATTCCTTTCCTCACTTTTTTTTCCCCCCTTTTACTCTTTCATTTTATTTGTATTGCCTCTTTCCCTCTGTTTTCACACCGTATCCTATCCGGCCAAATCTCTCAGCACCAACACCTTCCCCACCCCAGATCCTATACATTTTTTCCTCTATCTTCAATATCTCACTCCCCTTCCACCCACCACCAATTCCGATTTTTTAATCTAAGGCTATTTTCACAAAAAGTTTCGCACAGCCAGAAATCAGAGATGGAATTTTTACTAATAATTCCATCTACAAACAGGATTCTCCCCAAGAACTACTGTTTGGTGAGTCTCCATCGTTTCTCAATTTGTTTCTTGCATCCGTTGATGAAGGACACAGGCGTGTCCGAAAATTCCGAACTTGGAACCTTAATCTCCGTGCTTCATTTCTATTATGTGGTTAATATTAATATTTTTCGTACTGATCACATCGGTACCCTTTCGTTTTCCTTTGTTTTATTAACCAACTTATTTATATTTATTTATATATATATATATATATATATATATATATATATATATATATATATATATATATATAAATTATTTCTTTAAACGATATTTTTAAATGGATACTTATATTTGAGTAAATGCTCTTTTTTTATTTATTTATTATATATATATATATATATATATATATATGTGTGTGTGTGTGTGTGTGTGTGTGTGTGTGTGTGTGCGTGTAATTTCTTTCTTTAAACGTTATTTTTAAATGGATACTTATATTTGAGTAAATGCTCAGTTTTTTATTTATTTATTAAACAGTATATTTATTTATTTACATCTACCGGCCTAGATATTCGAGAAATCTTGTTAGAAAATTATGCACCCTCAGGCAGGATCCGATGTCTGATCAGAGGTCGTACGTGGCCGAGTGGTCTAAGCGACGTCAGATCTAGTGACGGTTCCACCTCGGGGACGCAGGTTCGAATCCTGCAAGACAGCTAGCTTTGCTAACTAGATTTCTCGAACATTCAAGTAGGTAGATTTAAATAAATAAATATATTGCTCAATAAATAAATAAATAAATAAAAACGGAGTATCTACTCAAATATGAGTATCCATTAAAAAAATAACGTTTAAACAAATAAATTAAAAATATGTAGGACTTAATCCATTTTCTAAATAAATATAATATATATATATATATATATATATATATATATATATATATATATATATTAAGCATTTCATCCAAAGTAAGGCAGGAGTACGCAAGGGGTTACAGAGAGTGAAAGTAAGAAAAAAGATATGGCAGATGGAGGGGTGAGGAAAGGATAAAAAAAAGAATGGGGATCAAAGCATCAGAATGTGTCCATTAACATTACATTTAAATTTTTGAAGATTATACTTGTCTGGGAATCAAGTAAGCGGAAGGGAGTTCCGCTGTCAAGAAGTGCGGGAGAAGAAGCTGTTGGAGTAGAAGAGGTGGTTATATTTAACTGTTTCGACAGTAACAGAGTGGGACCAAGATGCCAACCTAGTTGCACGTTTAACTTCATGCAGTCGGGGCACCACTGCAAATAGCACATCAGAGCAGTTACCATGAAAATATTTGTAAAAAAAGACAGAGGGAAGTCACATCACGTCTGTGAGAAAGTGACTGAAGTTGAGACTCCAAATCAGGATCTATACATACATACATACATACAACAGTAATGGCGTGTGCAAGTGAGTCTAAACGAGATAAAAATTTGTCTGCGTCATATTTTATTTTATCAACGCCGATCTTCGTTACCCTCATCTTTCAATAGTGACGTGTTAATCTGTCTAGACATTGGTAATCCCACCCCTTGACAATACCATTCCACAGCCATCAAATAAAACATTATATACATTGATGATTTCTGATATAATCTAGATACCACACAGACTGTCAATGAAAATGTCAGATAACATATCCTTCAGTTGTACGAATAGTTTGTGATTTTCATAAATATTAAACTTGTAATGCACAGATTCACTTATTTTGTTTCCTTTAGATTTCACTTTTTTTTTTCTTTTTTTAATGCAGGAGGTGTTCAAAAAAATAAGAGTAGACCATAATAATCACATTACCGCACGAAAAAAGATCACTTACCCTTTTAAAATGTTTTTGATATGATGTCCATTCAGGGCATAGGCGATCAGGGTTCGCCATAGATGTCTTTATCAGAGATTTGTCTCAGTCTGTAAAGTAAGATAGCAGAATGATACCTTGTTGTATACACCGTACATAAAAACAAGCATAATACTATTACACCGATGTCTTCTACAGCCTTCCTCGAGCATATCATACCTCTGCTGATTTTTCCTTCTGATCTCTTAGTGGGTGTGCGGATGGTGTAAATCGATAGCTGCTCAGGATGAGAAATCGGAAAACCAAGATAACTGAGTTCGAAGTCCCGTTGCGTTCGTTACATCCACTTACGCGCAAATACTGTACTCTACTGATGCGGCATTCACCCTGGGCGGATTGAGCCGGCTTCTTCCTGTTATGAGAAGATTCTTGGGATAAATTACAGAAGTAGGGTACCCAGGCCTACTCGGATAACGTTCTTGCTTGCCGCGGGGTTCCCACAGACGCAGAGACAGGAACGACCAGAAGCCGCCGGTTACCGATGCAGACGCTCCTTGGATTTTCACCAGAGCCCTTGTTAGCCGGCGTGTGTGTCAGACCTGTCCGCCTTGGGTGGCCCTACCAGGAACGAAGTTCTGGACGGCATAGCTCTGACACTACCGTTTACACCCCCCACCGACTGTGAGGTAAGGGTTGGACTTTGGGGGCTTACAGTACCAGATGTTCCCAAGCGGTTCCCCATCTAAGTACTGACCTGGCTCTACGCTGCTTAACTTCGGTGATCGTACGAGAACCGGTGTTTCAGCGTGATTTGACCGTAAGCAAATACTGTTGGGAAAGTTATGAATCCATCTCCTCCCTCAGCTATGGGATAAATAATAGAAATTACATCTGGAAAATCATTGTTATTCCCATAAAAATAGTGCGTTATTTATTCACAAAAAAAATAGAATTGTCTAAAATGTATTTCCGTTTTAAATAATCCACGAAAGGTCGATAAGCGCTAAAATAATTAAATCAATGAGTTCAGTCAGTCATTCGCCTCTGTCGGATGGGGCTTCAGAATACGCCTACTGCACATCCCCAAAAGATCAAGACCCAATGTAGCGTCCTGAGTATGACGATAAACTACATCCGGCAGCACTGATCAGGGGGTATAGAGGAGCGTGGAACCACTTCTTAATTGCTGTTGTTCCCAGGTTGACATTGATCCGCGGTAGTAGGACCTGTTAGCGTTAACCCCCAAATTGAGTCAAAACAAAATGAAGGTGTGAAAATAGTTTTTTTTTTTTTATGGTAAAAATACCAGTAATACATTTTTAAAAAAAAATTACCCGCAATATATTTTTGTAAAAAAACTATTACGAGCAATATTTTGACTCTCGCCAAAAACACTCTTTACAAAAATACGACAATGAAACCTGATCTATAAACTGATTTTTTTACAAAATGTACATATTCTATTCATACGAACCTATCCTAAAAATCTTGTCATCATTAAATAATCCATTGATGCTGATATGCCGTAAAACAAAATAAACGAAACCAAAGTATTTAACGTTAAGATTATTGGGACAATGCATGTGCTTCAGCCATTGCAGAAGTATTGTGCCTAAGGTAAGATACCCGGACAGAGCCCATCTCTTTTCAGGATGTTTTTTCATCTCTTAGGCTGGTTACTCCTTCAAGGAATGAGAGCCCTGTCACCCATGCTATTTAACCCATAGCTGAGAAGAAGATATGAATTCTTTATTTTTTCAAACATTTTTGTGCTCGATGGTACTACTATTCATTTAGAGATTCTTGATAAAATCAAAAGAAGAATCAACAATATTATTAGTTCTGACCTGGCACCTCGGCTTCAGTCACTTTCCCGCCGCCGTAAAGTTCCTTTCCTGCATTTTTCCCCTTAAATATAAATAACAAGAAAATATCTTGAGCCATGAAAATTGCCCGATATTGTAAAAATATGTATATGCAATGTATTATAAAGTTAATGGTAATGCTTATATAAGCCGTTTCCTTATAAGGAAACATTTGGAATTCATTGAATGAGCAGCCAGGGCTAGAGTTGCTTGAACTTTGTAAAAATCATTCTATTAAAACAAGTTTTCAGGAAAAATAGGTTTTTTAAGTCCAGTAATTGTTATCGCTCTTTTCATTACGGCTTGGAGTTTCCTTTCTAACTTTTTGTTCGAAGTAGTGTGGAAGATCAACATCTAGATTATGTCATTATTTTCTTCAAGTTACACGTGCTAACCATTTTACTTGTTTCTATTCTTGAAAGGTCTCAAAAAGTTTGTTTCTGTTACGATTATGTAGCACCAATCCACATGGTTCAAAAAAAGAACTGTCCTGGCGAACACCACAGTCGAGTTTAGACACTTCTGATTGAAAATCTAAAATTTTTGTACGCAATTCTATTATGTTTCTATAGATTAACGATTCCGAGCCATTAACCATGACACCACCCAAGTTTACAGCACTTAGTATTCCCAAGCGGTCACCCATCTAGCTACTGACCAGGCTCAACATTGCTTAACCTTGGTGATCGTGTGGGAAGTGCTGTTTCAACTTGACGTGGCCGTAATCCTGTAAATGCCGGGAAGGAGAGATAATAATGGTGATACATTCGATTCGACCCGATTCCGAGCCATTATCGATTACTCCAACTGCACATCCAAGTTTACAGCCCCTAGTATTCCAAAGCAGTCACCCATCTAGGTACTGACCAGGCTAGATTCCGCTTAACTTCGCTCATCTGGCGTTTAGCACTGATATGGAACTATAAATTAGTGATTCTCAATAAAAATGAAGTTATCTAAATTAAAGTTATTCTAGCTGTAATCATCTAATTTATGGATTCTCAATAAAATGAAATTATCTAAATAAGAATTAAATTTTTCTCTCTATATTAAATCATCTAAATTAGGGATTCTCACTAAAATTAAGTCATTTAAATTAAAGTTAAAGTTATTTTATCTATATTAAGTCATCTAATTTAGGGATACTCTAAATTTTAAAATACGAAAATAAATTTTAAAGCTTAAATACATACACCTTTGTGGATATTAATTGAAACAACCGCTTTAGTATCCTTTCTTTCCCCATACAGTCAGTTTTAGGCCCACTGGAGTGACAAGGTGTAATCGACTTCTATTTTTTCTCAGATTAGGTCATTTGCAGTCGCGTGCTGTAATAGGAATCTATTTTCGGGGTCTATGATAAAATCTGTTTGCGTCAGCCGTGATTACGTCAGATTTTATCTCGCCCAGACACTATTGTCTGGACTATCGATTAGTTGTCCTACGGCCATTGTCTGCGATGGATGTTACTCCAAGGAAACGTACGAAAATTGTAACGCTGCGCGAACACACTGGCAAGCCTTACCAGGGAGCAAATCAAAGTACTATAGACTGGTCCGGAAAATCTGATTTAAATCCAATCGAGAATCTCTGGTAAATCTGCAAGGAACGACTTCGTGGAATGGATATACGAAGTACTAACATTGACACTGGTTTACGTTTCCTTGTAAAAATACGAAAAAAAGTAAACAACGGCATTATTCGTTTTGTTTCAATCAATTTGCACAAGGGTAAAGTAAGGAAAGAAAACTTTTTTGAATAGTATTCGAACAGAACGGAATTTTGCAGCAAGAGCACTTCGTAACATTATAGATGAATCCGGCCCGTTTTGAATCTGAAGTCTTAAAAATGACTTCTCCAGGTACAAGAGTATCTTCGCATTATATGTACAACACTTTCTTTTTGTTTCGCCTTGCTGTGATATATATGGGATATATTAATCTCCGCGTGGGACAAGTGTATATATGTATTAGATTTGTGTATATCTTAATCATATAAAAGTCTCTCTGGGAAAAAAAGTATGTTTGTCATTTTTTTCCTTTCAGACATTCCGTTCCGTCTGTGAAATATCGGTGTTATTATAACAAGGATATAATAGTGCCCATAAAGGAGGCTGCAAATGGGGAGAATAAATCTTTCTTCTAAGCGCACTCGTTACAACTGGTTCCCGTAAATGAAGTTTGGCAACGTTTTTGAAACCTTTCTGTAACGTTGTAGGAACGCTATTTTATTAACTGGGATTCATTCTGAAATAACGCCTCTTATGTCCATCACATGCCACGTAAAATTTGCACCATTTCTATTTCTGTTTCTTTTCACAAGTCTTTCGAGAGGAAATATAAGATCGATAAAAGGAAAGAACTCTCATAAAATTATACAATTTAGTGGAAACGCGAACAATTATGGATGCAAACAAAAGAATTTTACTTCCACTTTTTTTTTCTTTTGTTTATTCAATATTTTTTCCTTCTGAATTCGCCAGACCAAAAAAGAAAAATGCACACTAGAATTGAATAAATAATTTATTTACCTCGAAAACCTTCCAGCACTCATTTCACCTAGATTTTCGATCGAAGTGTCAATTTGAAATAGGGCTGATTTTTTTTTATTTCTTTTTTTTAACTTAACAAATAAACAAACGAATTCACATATCGGGACGGTTTGATTGAATAGCATTTAAGACTTCTAGAACATTCTTCTACCTTTCTCCACACTTTCAGTTCCGACAACGAAGTTTTAATAAAAACAAGAGAAAACGATTCATGAAAACAGCGACAAAAAACACAAAACTTGTGAAATATTTCCGGATTCTTGATTACTAATGAATAGAAAAATCGATGTAGGTCTATTGAACAGAAGTCCTGCGTTATTTTCTTAAAGTAGAATCAACCAACGGCTTCATATCAGTGTAAAAAATACGGGTAAAAATGTAGGGGTAGCTATTCATTTGCAAAAATAAATGTCGGCTGTCGGCTTATACTTTTATTTTTGGACTTGCTTACTTACCATTTGGTATGCGCGGGTAGTTTTATGGTTATCGGCGCGGAAGATGAATTGCCGTTCATTTTTTTTCTTTTTCACTTCGCACTAATACCTTTAGAATAGCCTTAATACACCTTATTTCAGTTACGGTTTAAATAGCACGACAGACTAATCTCAGACTCTGAGTTGGCAACCAGTCTAGGAGAAGGAAAACTACGAATTCAAACCCAGCCTAGAGGAGGATGGTTTTCGGCAGGCAATCGAACCACTTTACACAATCAACGTTTGTGGACGGATCGGAATTCCTATGCTACAATACAGGCTAGACACCAGCATCAGTTAGGGCTGGAACTGTAGGTGACTGCCGGGTAGGTTCATATGTTCTCCCAGCGCGTCTCACAAGAGCTGCCTAAAGGGATTTTATTTCGAGTACACTTCCAGACCTGCTGGAGGATGTACACCTGCTAAAAAGAAGACGCATGTGGTTCATGGAGGATGGGGCTCCAGCACATTTTAGTCACATTGTCCGGGATACACTAGCTGACATCTACGATGAATTATGAATATGTCGGGGAGGCCAGCCTGCACATTCCCCCGACCTCATTCCTTTGGATCTTTATATAGGGGGCCAACTGAAACAATTGGTTTATGCAGCAAACATTAATGATGCAGAGGCACTGCCTCAACGTGTCATGGGGGCCTGCGAAATCATTCGACACCGTGTGGGAGTATTTGAAAGGGTCCGCCAGTCAATGATCCGACGGGTGTATATATGTGTAGAATCAAACAGAAGACATTTTGAACATTTGTTATGAGTTGCTGTGTTGAGGTACAACAAAGACTCTATGGACATATGTTTATATGGACCTTTTACCCCTCAAAGAATTTTTGATACACCCTGTATATATATATATATATATATATATATATATATATATATATGCCTACACGGTACCGCCATAAAAAGCGACAACTAAGTATTTTTTTTTTAAATGATGACTTTTTCTTGAAGCCTTTATTTTACTTTTAATTACTGAAAAAAATTAGAATTAATGTTTCCACTAAGCAAAATACTTTGCTACATTTGAAGTCGGATTTAAATTAATTATAATAACGTTTTTCCTGGTTATCATTAAAATCGATAAACTTGTTCATACTGCCAAATATGTCAGCACAACATGATTATCTTTATTAAAAAATCTTTCAATAATAATATATAATTTTCAAAAACTTTATTTCAAGAATAATAACTTATTTAAATTTTAATTAATCTGAGTTAAAATGAATATTACTTTCTTTTTTTAGGTCGTACCACATTTATCAATAAGCTAATGTCTGCGAGACTTCAATAAGCTAATGTTTGAGAGACTTCAATAAGCTAATGTTTACGAGATTTTAGCAAAATTATATGATAAATACAATGTAATGTCTTTTTACATACTTTTTTTTTAACTACCTAGTAATCTTTTTAAAATTAAAAATTTTAAACATTACAATATTTTATTGAATTTTAGTCATTTTTGGTTTTAAATTCTTAGGAAATGCTTTTTGAAGAAATGTTAGCAAATTACAAATAAATCTTAAATCTACTATAGTCACCGATAGTGTTGTGTACGGACGTCTTTATAAATATACACCGGGAAAAAATTCTAAATTCTTTTTAAAACTGAATTGTAGTAAGTTTTTATTTAATGATAATCACTTGGCCGATAATCACTTTTATTTAATGATAATCACTTGGCCGATACAAACAAATGTAGAATTTTAAAAGATTTAAAATTTTATAAATTTTTCTAATTATATTTTAAATTCTTGTAAAAATATATTATTCATCGATTTCTTTTTCATAAGCCAATAACTAATATAAAAATTACGCTACAAAAATAATTTCTTGGAATTTCATAAAATTAAACAACTGAAGATAATATTTGTACCAAGAATTTCTGAAAAAAGAAAGGTTTCTGAAATAATTTCACTCATTTCTGAAAAGGTCCTGAAAGACTCATTAAAATTGGACAACTATAGGATTTTTGCAAGAATTTATAAAGCAATGTGCTTTTCACCGTAAACTGACAATACTTACTTATATATATATATATATATATATATATATGAAATGGACAAAGTCCAACAATTATTTTAAGACATTTTTATGTTTAACATTCTTTTTATAGATACAATTATTTAAGTAAATGCTCTGTTTTTATAATAAACAGTATTAAACAACATTTACCGGCCTGAATGTCCGAGAAATTTTCATAGAAGATATTCGTCCCCCGACAGGATTCGAACCTGTATCCTATATGGAACCGTCATTTAGCTTGACGTTCCTTTACCGATTTGGTCACGGAGAACCGTTCGGTTGGCAAGGTCGAATTTACTGTATTTAAACTTCAATCTTCTATGAATCTCTCACGTACATTCATATCTGCTCATGGCGTATCAAATGTAAACAAATGACGTCACACATTATGAAATGGACAAAGATTATTTTAAGACATTAAAAATCGGTAAAGGTACGTGAAGCTAAATGACAGTTCCATATAGGATACAGGTTCGAATCCTGTCTTATTTCTAAGTTAAATTTTTACAAATTAAAAATTAATGAAATTATAACTAGATAACTTAATTCATAGCACAATCTAAAGTTAAATCAGTGTAACCTGTAGTTACAGATATATACAATCACGCACACAGATGCGCGCACACACAAACATACACACATATACAAGGTGGCAATAA